CCCATACACATGCAAAAACCAACAAGTTAAATGCTGGGCTGTATGTGGTTGTCTTTCCTTTTTATGAAAAAGAGAAGTTGCTGGGCAGTGGTGTGGCAGTTCTTTAATCCTAGCACTTGGGAGGCCGAAGCCAGCAGATCTCTGAGTTCAAGGCCAGCCTGGTTTACAGAGTGAGTTCCAGGACAGCCAAGGTTACACAGAGAAAGTCTGTCTTGAGAAACAAAACAAAAATTGAGAGGGTTGTACTGGTGCATGACTTTAATCTCAGCTCTCTGGAGGCAGAGGCAGGCAGATTTGTGAGTTTGAGGCCAGCCTGGTTTACATAGCAAGTTCCAGTATAGCCAGAGCTACAGAGACCCTGTTTCAACAAAACAAAAATGCTGATACTGAGTGATCTTAAATATACAGAGTCTTCTCCCATTTGTTTTCACCTGTAAATCTCTGGAAAGGTAAAAGGGGGTAAACAGAAGTTGATTCGGTGTGTGGGAGGGTACTGACCAAAATGGGCTGTGACAGAGGTTGACTGAGTGCATTGGGCATGTTGACCAATAGCTAGGGGTAGCAGAAAGCCGTTTTAATGGAGATCTGAGGAGTCTGGGCATCATCTGCACTGCTGAGCCATGCCTTCGACTCCAGTTTATGTTTTCTTATGCTTCCTTTTGTGATTTTTGAATGCTGTACTATATGCATATATGACCTATCCTAAATAACTAAAACCATAATATGCTTTTTGTAATTATTTGGACACACTCTAAGGAAAACACATTTAAACTTAGTGGGAAGATCCCATCTTTCCTCCTAGTCTCATCCCTAGTCTCCAGCCCTGTTTCCCATTGTTTGTTCTGGCTGCGAGTCAATTCTGAAACATCATGATATGGTCTCTCTACCCAACTTCCATTACCTTGGAGATAATAGCCAGTCTTTCTCCTGATGGTCCACATCACATGTAACTAGGCTTAGCTTCCTGTTTGTCAGAATTCTTGCTGAGTTCAAAAGCTTTGAAATGCAAACCCTGCCTGTTTTGGTGAGCTCCTTTTTTCTTTTTTTAATATTTATTTGTTTGTTTTTGGTTTTTCAAGACAGGTTATCTCTGTATAACAACCCTGTATGTTCTGGAACTTTCTTGGTGATCAGGCTGGACTCAAACTCACAGAGACCCACCTGCCTCTGCCTCCCGAGTGCTGGGATTACATCACCACTGCCCCACTGTGTTGCGCTGGTTTTTAAACTATTTTATTGTGGTTTCTTAAAGCCTCTCCCTTCCAACCCCCAACCCTAGGTAGGAGAAGGTTAGTGGGGAGAGGGGGCGCAGATCCCTTTACTTCTCCCAGTCGTTTAGGGTCAGTGGGTTCTTTTGGGGGTTATACCAATCTCCTTCAACAGCAGACACAGCAAGCAGTCTCCTCCAAACTGCTGTGTTGAACCATTTCTCTCAGTCTGTCTCTAAGTCACCATACTGTCCCTCTCTGGTCTCTTCAAATTGCCACTCGCCACACACCACCACTGCACACCACACTTTTCTCTTTCTAGGCTCTCCTATTTATATTCTCTGAGCCCTAGACCACGCCCCTCTCCATACTGCATGAGGCAGGACATTACCAGTTGGCAATGACCATAACTCACACAAGACAGTTATCAGCTGTGGACAAACTAAAGCCCAAACTAAAATCCCACACTAGGAATTAAAACAAAAACATATTTACATAACATACCTGAGTTTACAAAAAAACCAAAACTTCCATTACATCACTGAGCTACTTAATCTTGAGAAGCCTGTTGCTCTATTTGTACAATAAGCACAATAGTGGCACCTATGTAGCAGTGTCAGGTACCAATAAAATTATCAGTAAGAGAGGCTGGGGAGATGGCTCATTGGTAAAACAACACAAGCATGAGGACCCAAGTTTGATTTCCCAGAACCTGGGAACAGTAGCAGTATTTGTGATCCCAGCATGCCTACAGTGAGAAAGAAGGATCCCTGGATTCTTATGGGCCTGCTAGCCTGGAGTACTCTGCAGGGGACAACAACAACAAAAACCCTATCTCAAATGAGGTAGAAGACAAGGACAGACAGCTGAAGTTGTCCTCTGATTTTTACACACATGCCATAGAAAAAGCATGCACTCTCACACACATACCTTCTCAAATACATCATGAAAATAAACTATCAGAAAACATGAACTGTGATGAGTATTAAATAATTTGCTTTAATAACTTTCTTGTGATTGCAATTAATACGAACATATATTTTTTGTAAGAGCTCTTTATAAATCAGGGACCTTATTAGTTTTACTTAAGTCACAGGCAGGTAAGATGGCACAGTGGGTACGGGCACTTGTTGCTACCTGATGACCTCAGTTTGATCCCTGGAATCACATGGTAGAAGGAGACAGCCAACTACTGTGGATTGTCCTCTGATCTCTATACATACCCCCTCACCACAGACTCTCAGAAATAAAGGTTAAAAATGTTGATAAAGCCAGACATGGTGGTACACACTTTTAATACCAGCACTTGGGAAGTAGAGGCAGGTGGATCTCTCTTAGAAGCCAGCCACGATAGCCAGGACTACACACAAAGAAACCCTGTCTTGAAAATAAACAAACAAAATGTATATATATGTGTGTGTGTGTGTGTGTGTGTGTGTGTGTGCGCGCATATATAAATATATGTGCATATAAATAAATATATATGCACACACACATATATTGATGTATATATTATACATACATACATTGCTGTATATATACATCAGGGCCAATGCCGGTAATCCCAGTACTTGGGAGGCTGAGGCAGGAAGATCAAAGCCAGCCTGGACTACATAGCAAGTGTCAGGCTAGCCTGTTCAACAGCCTAAGACTTCTTACCAAAAACCTTTCAAATGGGCTGGGTATGATGGCAAACACCTTTAATCACAGTACTTGGGAGAGGTGAGCAGATCTCTGTGAGTTTGAGGCCAGCCCGGACTACAAAGAGAGCTCCAGGCAAACTAGGACTACACAGCGAAACTCATCTCAAACAAACAAACGGACATGTCACATGCTCGGGTGCATTGTGGGTGCTCACTAAGTATGTAGTTGCTCAATCTCTGCCTAGTTCTCAAATTCCCAGTTCATTCTTCCATTCAACAAGTATTTAGTGAGTCCCTACTGGGTGCTATTTTGCATGTGCTGGATGTCAATGTAAAGCTTTTTGTCAAAACAAAACTTCCTGCCATCTTTGTGCTAAGGGCGAAATGGTTCAAATGCAACTTAGCAGTTCTTTTCTTCCCTCCCAAGATAGGGTTTTTCTGTGTAGCCCTGGCTGTACTGGAAGTCACTGTGTAGACCAGGGCCGGGCTCAAACTCACAGAGATCCTCCTGCCTCTGCCTTCCTTGTGCTGCTGGGGTTAAAGGTGGGCACCATCATCACTCAGCAGGAGATAGTTATGCTTAATTTTTTTATTTTAAGATTTTGTTTCTCTTTATGGTTTGTGTGTAGGTGTCCAAAGAGGCTGAACAGGGTATCAGATCCTCTGGAGCTGGAATTATAGCCGGTTGTAAGCTGCCTGTAGGTGCTGGAAACTGAACTTAGGTCTTTCAGAAGAAGGGCAAGAGCTCCTAACTGTTCAGCCATCTCTAAGCCCAGCTCGAGTTTTTAGAACATGTTTAAAATTTAGATTTCAGAGCTGGAGTTAAGACAGGTACTGCTGTTGTAGAGACACCCAGGTTTAATTCCCAGCACCTGCATAATGGTGGGTGTGTCACAACTGCCTGTAAGTCCAGATCCAGGGGATTTGACACACTCTTCTGGCCTCCAAGGGCACTCCGAGATGAGGTGCACAGAACAGGCACATGCAATAGTTATCTGATTGTGTGTGTGCTCACGAGTATCATTGCTGATGAAGGCCAGAGGGTAAATTGTGGGAGCTGGATTTGGTTTTCTCCCTCCACCATGTGGGTCCTGGGGATTGAACTCAGGTCTTCAAGCTTGCGGCCAAGCAACCTTACCTGCTGAGCCATTTTGGAGGCCAAGATTTCTTTCTTTCTTTGAGACAAGGTCTCATTATGGAGACCATGTTGGCTTTCAAGTCAGAAATCTACCTACCTTTGCGTCCCAAGTGCAGGCCAATGAAATTTCTTATATCAAATTCTCACACACTGTATGCCAGAGGTTTTGTAATACTCATTTGAGGAACATAAATGTTTTGTAGATTGAGGCTTCTCAAAGTAATTCTTGCAATTCTTGCCCTTTAACCTCCTGCATAGCTGGGATTTAAAGGAGTGCCCACCTGTGGTACCTGGCTTCCGATCCAGTCCTATGTCCCAGGGGCTAGCCCGGGAGGTCTACTTTATCTCAGGGCTATTTGCTTGGTATCTCAGGATGCTCCAATTCCACAAAGGCTTCACCTTGAGCTCTCTGTATCTGGCATTTCCTTAAACCACATCTGTAGGGATGAGTTCTATAAGGTTTTCGCCTACACAAATCTTTCTTGAACTGAGCCTTTGAGGGACCCTACACCCGGTAATGGCGACAGTAGGAAGCACAGAAAAACACACAGGCCTGTTTTCTCACGGATCCCGTTCTACATGGTAGCTTTGATCCTGGGTCTCCTCATTGTAAAAAAAAAGAAAAAAAGAAAAAAAAAAGGTGGTAACAACGTAGCTTTATGCTACCATTTTCAGAAGCTCCTCTCTCTGGCGATATCTAAAGGCATTTCCATTCGCCACTGCCCTTCTCTGTGCTCAATGGGTACCTGGGGACACAAATGACTTAATCTAAGTCTTTAGTCTCAAACCATCGAGAAAACAGCCCAGGTACCCTTGCCGAGCCGCGCCGATTCCAGACAAGAGTCCTGAAAAAAACCTCCGCTCCCTTCGGTCCTTCTCAATATGGCGCCACCCAGCGGCCACCGCGCGAACGCTGGCCGCGCTGACGTGTGTGCGCGCGCGCGCTGCCTCTGCGCCCCGCCCCGGCGCATGCGCACTGCGCGCTGTCTTTTCTCAGTCTGAGCAGCAGCAGCGGCGGCATCGGGGACAGCGGCGGCGGCGGCGGTGAAAGCCGCGACGGCGTTTGAGTGGAGGAAGATGGCGGCTCCGGGTAGCCCCGGGTCCCGTCAGCCGTGAATATTCCCCGAGCACAGCAAGCAGCGGCCTGAGGCAGAGCGGCTGTGCTCCGGCCCTGGCCCCTTCGCCACCGTCGCCGGAGACGCGAAGCCGTGAGCGCGGAACGGGCTGGGCCAGGTGAGGCCTCTCCCGGTGCGGGGCCGCGGCCGGGCGCCGACGCCTCCAGCGCTTTATGCCTGGGGATCCCGGGGCACCCCGAGTCCGGCGCGGGCCCTGTGTCCTGCGCGGGCGTGGGTCTTGGCGGGCCTGGGGTCTTGCTGTCGTCATCCTCGGTTTCTCAGTCTGAGGTGTGGACGGGCGCCCCTTAGCAGCCAGCCCTCCGGATGGGTGCAAACCTGTGCCCTCTCTTCAGCAGGGTGGTTCTGCTCCTCATCCGGCCCGGGAGAGGATGCGTGGCCAGGGCAAGAATGGCTTTCGGGGTGTCATGGAGCCTCACCCCGCCCCCTGAAACCCTTTAGTCCTCGGAGAAGAGCGGGAGAGTGCTGCCCTCCCGAATTGGGGCTGCGGCGAGGGGCCGTCGTCTCGGAAGCTGCAGCTGCAAAGAGCTGATTTTTGGAATTGGCTGACGAAATGAAACACAAGCAGTTCCTTTCCTGACCCCTAGCCGTTTGAGTGTTTTCTTAGGGGTGGGAACTGCAGCTCTCCTTGCTGGAGACAGCAGTCCACGTTGGGACTGAGGAAGGCTTGCCCTCCTGAGAATTGTTTAGAGAACTGTGGAGGGTGGAAACGAATTTCTAAATCAAAAACACAATTGGGTGAGATCCTGATAGTTTCGGCAGAGAAACTTCAGATGGTGGAGTTGGTTGGAAACCTTTGGAATAACCGATTGCTTTGTCTGTTGGATCTTCCGAGTTTTGATAGGAAAATAAAAGCTTCGTTTCTCAATGGCCAAAACGTTTGGACTTTTCTGTGGTAGCTTATGAGTGATCTAGATGCAGAACGAGACACATTATCGGTCTCACTTGCTGGGGGCAACACTGTACTATTTGGTTACTTATTTGTTTTTCCTCGGAACTTTTTGTTGTTGAAATGGTAGTAATTGAGAGACTTTGGTTTCGTTTCGCTCCGGTAGAGAAGACAGTTTGATGCCTGGTGGCCTTTTCGTTGAGGAAGAATGGGTTCATTTGGAATTGTGCTGTTGTGGATTGTTGGAGCCATCTCTTTTGCTTGGACACACCAAACATCTTTTGTAACAAATCGGGTTTTGCTTGTGCTTAAGAATGATGACATCATGGACTTAAAGGGACAAGGGAAATTGGCGAAGAATTTAGTCTGAAGCTCTTAAGCCGGACAGGGATGCTCCCTGTATCACATAACAGAGCTTCTTCAGTTGTCCAAGTCTGGTTGGGTGTCTTTTCTGTTGCATGTTAATCAGTTAATATCCTGTAGCTGTTTGCTTTAGATAAACCCAATTTAATATTGCATTCAATCTACACTGAGCCCTGAGTGCTCTATGCACTTCAACCAGCTTTGAATGACAACTATTTAGTAAAATGACGATTACTTCACTTAATATTAGCGACCTCTTTGACCATTTTTTCCCTTTCTTAAATTGATGTTTTCTGTAGAAGTGTAGATTTCCTTAGTTTCCTAGCTAAAAATGTAGGCTTGAACCAAGAGTAGGAAATTGGAGGGCTGTTCTGTTTACTAATTTGCTAATAGAGGATCATGGTATCAGTGGTAGTTTGACATTGATGCTCCTTGCTACCATCTGTTATGTCGCTGTGCTACATGGTCATCAGGTGTTGATGGAGCTCTGTGATACCATTTGCTCTGCAGTGTTTCAGCTTTATTTCCTTACCTGTCTCAGGTACAAAAAAGAGAGAGAGATCAGGAAAAGCAGCTAAGGATGTTTGTTTTCAAATTTCTCTATTTAATTTTAAGTTTATGGGTGTTTCTGTGTATGCGCACCGTGTGCATGCCTTGCGCCATGTATTCTCTGGAACTGGAGTTACAGACAGTTGTGGACTGCCATGTCGGTACTAGGAATTGAACCTGGGTCCTCCAGAGGAGCAGCGAATGCTCTTAACTGCTGAGCCATCTCTTCAGCCCCTGGATGCTTTTTTTTTTTTTTCTTTGTGACACAGAGAGACAGACAGACACATATACACGGAGAGAGAGAGAGAGAGAGACAGAGAGACAGAGAGACAGGGAGAGAGAAAGAAAATCCATGTGTTAGCAGAGGCCAGAGGCATCAGATTCCCTGTAGCTGGAGTTGTAGACATTTGTGAGCCATCTGGTTTGGGTGCTAGGATTGAATGAACTTGGATCCTATGCAAGATCAGTAAGCACTTTTAACCGCTGAACCATCTCTCCAGTGCAAGGAGGATGAGGATGCTGCTTCCTCTCTTTCTGGGTTTTGGTTTTTCAAGACAGGGTTTCTCTGTGTAACCCTGCCTGTCCTGGAACTCACTCTATAATAGACCAGGCTGGCCTCAAAGAGATCTGTCTGCCTGTGCCTCCTGAGTGCTGCAGCCAAAGGTGTGTGCTGCTGCCGCCACCACCTGGCTCCAAGGGTGCTTCTTAATGTTGAATATGGTTCTATGTGGCTGTGTGATAGCTACCTTCTTTCTGTAAAGAGCAGGCAAAGAAAAGGCTAGCAGAGCCTTTAGTTTGTAAGTATGCTCAAGTTTCCAGGGAAGCTGTTCTGGAGATGAAAAGTGTGATTATGTGTTTTCAGGGTGTTTTAGTTAGTGAGTTAACAATTCTTTATAAAACCCAAAGCCCTTAGTTCAGTATTGGTATTTCTACTTTAAAAAAGTAATTATGTAGATAAAAAGAGATGTTTGCAAAAGTGCTCTGAAAAATGTCTATTCTGAAATATGTGAAACAGTTGGCCATGGCAGTGCAGACCATTGGTAACAGCACTCATGAGGAAGAGGCAGGCAGATCTCTGTGTGTTTGCGGGCAGCTTGTTCTACATACTGAGTTCCAGCATAGCCAGGGCTTCATAATGAGACCCTGGCTTAAAAAAAAAAAAGTACACACAAGGGAAGTAGAAGATTATCTCTTTAATAAAGCATGTATTAAAAGGCCCTCTATGTGTTGGTACTTAAAGAAAGAGGTACTGATGAGTCTGAGGACAGCTTTTTATCTAAAGTTGTCTGGAGCCTGCTTGGAAAGCCGGACAAAAAAGCCAGCGTGCTCACGGTAGTACAGTAAGTGTGTTCCTCCAACCAGGGGGAGAAGGGAGCTTCTCAGAGCTTTGCCTGTTTTGTCAGTTAGTTATTTGTTTGTTTGGTTTTTTTTTTTTTTGAGACAGGGTTTCACTATATAACCTGGCTTTCCTGGAACTCACTGTAGACCAGGCTGGCCTTGAAATCAGAGTTCCACCTGCTGAGTGCTGTGATTAAAGGTGCGTGTCACCTCCTCCTGGCTTGTTTCTTTCTTTAATTTTTTTCAATTTATCTTATTTTATGTGTATGACATATGAAAAATATTCATATATTTTTTTCTGCATGTCTACCCACCATGTGCTTGCTTGGTGCCCTTGAAGTTTATGGGGGGCATGGGCCCCTCATGCCCAATTGAAGTGGTGGATGGTTGTGAATCATCATTTAGTGCTGGGAATCCAACTGTTGCCCATTGAGAAATTTCTCCAGCTCTGGGATTTCTTTCTTTGTTGTCTCACTATGTAGCCCATGCTAGTCTGGGCCCTCCCCATCCTCCTCCTGCCTTCCCTAGGGCTGCGATTCTAGGTGTGCATAACCACGCATGGCTTAGAGATACTTAAATTTTTTGTCCTGAGTTCTTTCCCCTTTTATTCATTCACTGTCATCCTTCCTACACAGTATGCATGCCCCAGTTATGGTTTCTCAATTTTCAAGGATCAAGCAGTGAGAGCCTTTCTGAGTGAGTCACAGGCACAGGCAGCAAGCATTCACATCAGTGAAAGTTTCTCAGATTCTGAATAAGGGAACTTCAGAGTGAAACCCTCCCACCCTTGTTGTTGTTGTTGTTTTGCTAACTAGCACAGGAGGCATTGTGTTTTAATTGCTGCTGCAGTGGTGGTGATGGGGTACTGGGGACCCTGCCCTGGCCTTGTAAATCCTAGGCAAATGCTTTGCCGCTGAGCTACATGCCCAGCCCTGTTTTGTGTCTTTTAATTTTTTTTTTTTTTTTTTAGTTTGTCTGGGTCTTTTGCCTACATGTATGTTTGTGCACTTGGTGCCCACAGAGGCCAGAGAGGCATTGGATCCTGTGAAACTGTGGTCACAGAAGGTTTTGAGCTGCCACGTGGATGCTGGGAATCCAAATCACGTCTTCTGGGCCTGCAGGGAATGCTCTTAACTGCTGCTGAGCCATCTCTCCAACCCTCTTTTCTCCCCGTTTGTTTTGTTTTTTTCTGAGACAGGTTTAGTGGATCCCAAACTGGCCTGGAACTTACCTTCCTGCCTCTCACTCCCTAGGCTTGGGATTACAGACAGGTGTGCCATGCCCAGCATTGTAGATGTTCACTGTCCTTGAACTCACTGTGTAACAGAAGATGCCCTGGGACTTGTGATCCTCCTGCCTCTACCTCCCCAGCGCTAGAATTACAGGCCTGTTCTACTAAGCCCAATTTGCTGGTGCTGAGGAGGCAGATGCGGGCTGCGTGTGCATACTAGACAGGCACTTTACCAGCCGAACCACATACCTAGCCGCTCGTCATTCTGTATTGTGACAGTTTGTTATGTGAAGAAGGATGTGACCTAAATATGTCATTGTAAAATTACCTAGAATTGAGTACATAATACATGTTATTTCTGAAATTATTTCTGTGTTATTGCAAGTCTTAGAAATTACTGATAGTGACATTCTTGTTGCTTAAATTTTGCATTTCCTTACCAATGCATACATTAGAAGGCAAATTTCCTGTGTACTCTGGATGTCATTGTATTATAGTTTTTACCTTTAAATTGTAAAAAAAAAAAAAAAAGTTATTTTTTTCCTAGTGTTATTCTGTTTTGATTCAGAAGGTGGAAGTATTGTGTGGTACTTTCAGATGATGTGCTTTTATGTGTATATTTGAATCTGATAAACATGTAGGTATGATGTAAGATTTTATTGTTCTGGATTGTAGCTTAGCTTAGATGACTCACGCATCTTTCTTCTCTTCCTCTCTGCCTGCCTCCCTG